CAGGAAACTAAGAGGCCAGAAGAGTCCAAAAAGAACTAGCCCAGGAAAAAGGAACTTTTTTAATTGATATTTTAATGAAAGTTTACAGAAAACTTGGATTTTCAGTAAATTCATTGTCGAAAAAGGAACTTTTTAAAAAAGAAAACTTATTCACAAAGAGTCAATCAAATGGTGGTTCAGTGACAACCATGCTCACTAGAATATCTTACAAAGAATTAATAAAGGAATTCTTTTCCATTTCACTTGAAACAGAAAGAAATATGTAGTTATCACACTAAGAAATCCTACACATGGCATATGCATGATTGTAGTGGTCCTAGCTCCACTCAAAGGAATTCTGGTGGCACAGTGCATTACATGTTGTGTAAACAGAAAGGTTGGTGTGGGGTTTGAATCCACAGCTGCTGAGAGATGAAGATGGACAGTGTCCTCCTGTTAAGAGCAAAAGCCACAGAAACCTGATGTAGGGTCACTATGAGCAGCATCAGCTTGAAAGCAGTGGGTTTAGATTTTGGTTAGACGCATTTTTGGTCTGGAAAAGTAATGGTTTTTAAAAGATTTCTCTCTTTTACCAACTAAGTCACTAATACAAAAAGCCAAGAAACTATTTGCACACAGAATCAATCTTTCCAGTTTAACAGAGATAAAAAGCAAGTGGGGGGGGGGGGGAGAAGAAGGGAAAGGACTATTATAACACATTGTTGTTGTTACCTACAATGGAGTTGGAACCAACCCATAGCTGGGTTTTCAGAGGCTGAAAGAAGAAAGGACATTGCCCATCTTTTTTCTGTGAAGTAGGAGTAGATTCAAACTGTGTGCCTTTGGACTGGCAGCAAAACTCTTTACTATTAAGCCACCAGATCTCATTATAATATAAGATCACTATTATAAAATACTAGCGAAAGATTTACAAACAGAAACAATTTCTTTTGGATGGTTACCAGAGATTGGAAGAGGAGAGGAGAATGAAAATTAATAAAGAAGAAAACCCACAGAATATTTCAATTTTTTCCTACTAAAAGGTAAGGGAACTCTAGTGGCCTAAGAAGTTGCACTGAAATCCCAAAGACACATGGTTCAAAGCTGTTCAATGGGAGAAACATGGGCAATCTCCTCCCACACAATTTACTGCCTCTGAAAACCCACAGGACGGTGAGCTATAGTCAGTTCCGACTCAAGGGCACACAACACCAACAAGTAAAAGACATGTTAACCACAAACTGTAGAAATGAAAATGATTTGCCTTTTTTCTTCTTCCAGACAACTAAAAGATATCTTCAAGAGTATGTGTACCAATTCATTATCAATTTATCACAAATACTGGTGAGTACTTAGGTTGCAATTGTTCGTCTCTAACTGAACAGAAGAAAACCAAAGATATACTAAACAATTAGTCCTAAGGACTGCACTATAATAAAAAAAAACCTCCAACTTCCAAAACCCTGAAACCAGAAGCACTAGGCAGTCCCCAGCTACCACCACTGATCATTGTAAAACAGATCACCCTAGGAGATCCTGGACAGATTGGGGTAAAGGTGACAGAAAAACAAACTTGAAAAAAAGCCAGGCAAAGTGGTATGGTAACTACGGCCTTTAGTCATGCTTCAAGCCAGGAACAAAAGTTTCAGGTTTAACTTTCAGTCAAAGAACAGAAAAGCCTATAGTGACTAATAACAAGAGGAAGTGCTCTCACCCTAGAACAACCAATCACATAAGATTAAAAGAGCATCATTTGCCCAAAGACAAAGCCTAGAAGGGAGGGAGGGAAAGAAAAATTACAGAGAAGAAGTGGGAAAAGTGCAAATAAATTGTGGGTATTGTAACTAATATTACAAAAGAAATGATGTATATGAATTGTTGTTGTTGACTGCCATCGAGCACAACTCACAGCAAATCTATGAACAAAAGACCTAATGATTTTCCATAACTATCGTTTCTCCAAATTCATAGTTTCCAGAGGCATGTGGTTTAGGAATCTGGTGTATGAACAGTTGAATGAAAAACCAATTAAGTGGGTAAACTTTCTCTCAAGCTACAATAAATAATTTATCACAAATAATTTGGCTATAAAGTTAAATTCAACAAATAGGGTTGGACCTGGGAATTTTTCCAGGTCTCTCTGTGTGTCGAAGTCACACGACCCACAGAAGTCAAACAATGTTAACTAAATGCATCCAGGCTGTTATACAGAAGATAAGAGTAACCATTAACCCGTTGCCACACACTTTTAAATTGAGACCATGCTTAGAAACACACTTTTTTTTTTGCTGTCATTTGTGGCAATGTGTTATGCAGAAAAGTAAACTGCAATGGGGTGGGGGTTGGGGGTGGAACAAAAATAGGGAGTGGAGGCCCCCTGGGTATAAAGGGAAAAAACAACATGTTAGGTACAAGAAAATTGTAGAAAATGAGAGCAATAACCATAAAACACCTATGATAGGAGTAGTCAAGAAATCAAAAGATGTGTTGCATTGGGGAAATGTGCTTTATAGGACCTCTCCAAAGTGCTAAAGAACAACAAAGTCAGTTTAAAGGCTAAGGTGCAGCATCTGACACAAGCCTCGGTCATTTCAACTGCTTCCTATGCATCTGAAAGTTGGACAACGAATAAAAAAGACCTAAGAAGAACCGAGCAATTGAACAAAGGGTTCTAAAGTGCAAGAGATGATGACGCTAGCACAGGATAAGACAGAGTTCAGATGTGTTGTTCATAGGATCACTGAGTCATACTCAACTTGAAATATGCCATCCTCAATATATGGATCCTCAATAAGAATCCTCCTTGGATCCATGGTTTTTCCAATCACCTACTTTGCATCTGAAAGCTGGACAATAAATGTCAGGAGTAGAATCAATGTATTTGAGTTGTGGTGTTGGAGCAAAGTGCTGACTATCCCCCACAGACAGCCAAAAGAACAGATACGTCTTGGAGCAAGTATAAACAGAATGTTCTTTGGGTGCAAAGACAGTAAAACTTTACCTCACATACTTAGGGAATGTTGCTAAGAAAGGCAAAAAGGGCATCATCATGCTTGGAAGGTGGAGGGTAGGCCAAAGAATGTAAGACCTTCAACCAGATAAATTGATACAGTGACTGCAGCAATAGGCTCAAGTGTGTCAGAGATGATGAGCATGGGAGAGCATATGATAGGGTTCAGAGAGATCTGCTGTTAGTAAAATCACTGTAAGTAGCACTTGACTTGATGGCACCTAACAACCTAAAAGAAATGATGCTTTTGAAGTGTTTTGAAGATGACTGACCACTGCATGATCTTAAAAAAAAAATTGTCTCAGAGAATTGTCTCAAACACGGTGTTTTTTAGAAGGAAGGATGGTGTAATTTTATCTCGTATATTTTAAGCATACTATCAGAAGGAGCTAGACCTTGGAAAAAGGCATCACGATGGGGTAAGCAGTGAGTCAGGAAGAGAGAGCAAGACAATCAACAAGATGGACTGACACTGACTGTTAAGAGTGGGCTTGTGCATGTCAGAGACTGTGAAGATGGTGCAGGAAAAGGGAAAGTTCAGATTCCTTACAGGGGTGCTATGAGATGCAGTCAACCTGACAGCATACAACAACTCAGGCTGCTTCACTGTTGTATTTCAAAAAGCAATGGTCTGGAATATAAGATGTATGGAAGAATACCAACAAATGACTTTATAACCTACTAAGCTCATGTATGATCTTAAAAAAAAGCAACTAATCTAAAAAAGAGTGGAACATTGTTAAATTTAAGTAACATGATCAGTATAATTCAGAAAAAATACTCATTCAAATGTTCTTAAAGGACAGAAAAAAGGCTATATTTATATTGTATTATCTCCGGCACTTGTGTACATCTTCGGAAGGTTCTTGATCTAGTGATTACATAGGACAATCCACCTGAAAAATCACCTGTGCAGACACCAAATCTATTCAAACAAAATATAATTATTCAAACAAACAAAAGCCCCATCTGCAAAGTATTAAAAAACCCTAACAAAACACAATAATAAACAATTATTAATAATTATAATTATTAATTCTTAAGCCAATGGGTCTCCCTTAAGTAACAAAGTAAACCATGCCTAACTTTGTGGATAATATTTAGGTGTACCTGTGTTGGCATAAAGCTAAAAAAGGCCCAATAAGCAAATGAGTTGCTAAGGAAACTTTGGCTAGCAAAAAACCCTAAGAACAAATTGGTTTTACAAGACTATTACTATGGACATAGCAAAACAACAGCATTATTTATAAAAAGCCTACTCTAACCAGAATGTGTCTTGATTAAGCTTGTGCTCTGTTCTGCTACCATCTTTGTCTGCACTCGACTCTCACAATCTAAGAATTTCTGTACAAAAAGAAAAATCCATGAAAAAGATTCTGAAGATATTTTAATGACGTTGGGCAAAGAAAGAAAAGACCGACCCTTCTTAAATAATGACCTGTTTTTAATCAGAGATGTTTATAGTGAGTATGTACAGTTAAGTGCCGCGTAAAAAAAGAAAAGTCATCACTGGTAACTAGTGGCTTGAGCCGCAGAAACAGCACGTGCCGCCAGTGATTATAACACCGTGGGGAGACCGTTATTAAATTATGTGGCAGATGACCAATTTAAAAGCCCCAACTCCGCTCCCGCCTCTTGTCAGGCTCGGGGCGGGGGTGTCAGCGCCAGCGAGAAATGCACACTCATCAACGCCTGACCTTAAGACCAGGGCAGTCAGGGCGACGCTCCTCTGAGAGCACGAAGCACCTCAAAGTCACATCGCAAACGGGTCCCGCCCAGCGCTTCCTCAAAACTTTTTCTGGGGAAGGGAAACTGAGGCACAGATGATCTGCAATGACTGCTGGAACCCCAGACAAGCTTCCGTCTCTCAAGGCCAGTGAGTCCCACAGGCACGGCCGGGGTGACAGGGGTCCCCCGAGAGGCTGGAGGCGGCTCAGGACGCTGATCCCCACGCTCGGGCACCTCCCCTCCCCCTCTCTGCTCCCGCCCCGCGGCGGCCGCCGCCCGGTACCTCTCGATGACGGAGGCCACCAGCTGCGGCAACTCCTTCATCTCAAAGGCGGAGTAGGAAGCGGACAGCAGGGGCCGCACTGCCACCTCCCAGCCCGGGGTCGAGTCGGGCCCCTCTGCCGAGGCCCCGAGCGTCGGCGCCCCTGCCGCCGCCGCAGTCGCCTCTTCGCCGCCGCCGCTCGTCGCCATCTTTCGTCGTACTACTGCGGCTCCCTCCCGGGGTTTGCCACCGGCTCAGCACCTCCCCCCCGGGAAGGAGCGGAAGTGACGACACCTAACGTCAGACTGCGCGACCCAGTCGCTGACCAAAATACGACACGCTTCTCGCTTTTTCTCATCTAGGCGGCTGGGTGGGGCCGAGGTGCTGTGCGTGCGCAGAGTGTAGCTCCTCAAAGACGGAGCACGGATCTCTGCGCATGCGCATGAAGAGTACTTTGTGAAGGTGGGAGACCTGAGTCAGGTTCTAGAGGCAGTACCTGTGCAGTGGCTATGGCATCTGCGTTCCTTTAACAAGTCCAAAGTATTAGGGAGCTCTGTGGCTTGTTGTTGTTATGTGCCGTCGCGACTCATAGCGACCCTATGTACAACAGCCCTAAACCCTGCTGTGTCCTGTGCCAGGCTCACAGTCTCAGACACACCTACCCCCATTACCCCAGTCACTAATCAATCCATCTCATCGAGGGTCTTCCTCTCCTGCGCTGTCCCTCCACCCTCCCAAGCATGACGTCCTTCTCCAAGGATTGGACCCTCCTTGCAACATGTCCAAAATATGTCAGATGAAGCTTCAGAATCCTTGCCTCCAAAGAGCAGCCTGGTTTAAGTCTCTCCAGGTTGAACCTTTTTGTCTTCTTAGCAGTCCATGGTATATTCAGTACTCTTCTCCAGCACCACAGCTCAAAGGCATCAATTCCCCTTTTATCCTCCCTAGTCATTGTCCAGCTCTTTGATGCATATTGCAAAGACCGTGGTCTGTATCAGACACAACTTTGTCTCCAGAGTGACATCATTGCTCTTCAATACTTTGGCGAGCTCCCTAACAGCAGATTTTCCCATCGCAGTACGTCTTTTAATTTCCTGGCTGCTGATGCCAAGAGTGTTGACTCTGGAGCCAAGCAAGTTGTAAGGAATTGCGCTACCCACACAAAAGCACGAGATTCTGATCCACTAGCTGCTCTGCGAGAGAAAGATGGGTCATCTCCTTCCCTAAAGGATTAACTGCTTCTGAAAACCCGCTGAAGGGCCACCTATCTATCTACTTGAAGGCACACAACAGGCATCAGCAAACATGATGACTGAGGTCCGGAACGACTAAGAACAAAGAGGCCAAACTATACTCTTGTCCACCCTTAATGCTTCCACCATATTAACAGTTCTACTGCTGTACTAAACTCAAGTATGACAGCACGATATAGAGCTTTTTCTCCTCACATCACCTCTCGCAGTTACGTTAATCACTATTTTTATTCGCTCTCAAATTCTTTCTCGATAACCCTCAGCCAGGTTGTTTGGGTTTGTTTGTTTTTTATTGCTGGTTGCCCTCCAGTCAATTTTGAGTGTTCAATGAGCCAGTTCAGACTCCAAGCTATACTGTGACAAACAATCCTTGAACACGGGGTGAGGGAGTTTGAACAGCGTGGGCCCGTTTTTTAGGCAACAATTTACCGTTTTACTGTGTTTAAAATATCGTTTGTTTCACATATCATTTATTGGAGTGTCAAAAAGCGTCACAACTCGAGTTCAAAACAACGTTGTTTTTATGTGTCATTGACAACGATTCATAGCGACCCAGTGAACAATGGCTTTGAACCTTGCTCTATCCTGAGCCAACATCACCATCTATGACACACCTGATTCCATTGTCACAGTTGCTATATCAATCCATCTTATGCAAGGTTTCCCTCTCTTGTGCTGACCCTCCCCCCTTTGCAAGCGTGATGTTCTTCTCCAAGGACTGGCCCTCCCTAACATGTCCAAAGTACCTGAAACAGGCAGAGTTTTAAAATCCTTGCCTCCAAGGAGCAACCTGGTTTTACCCTTTCCAGGACAAAACATGTTTCTTCTCTTGGTAGTTCACTGTATGTTCAATATTCCTCTCCAGCACCACAACTCAAAGACACTGATTCTTCTTCTGTCATTCTTCATCAGTGTCTGGCTTTCAGATGCACAGCAAGTGATTGAGATGACCATGGCCTGATCCAGACACACCTTAGTCTCTAGACTGATATTGTTGCTCTTTCGTACTCTGGAGAGGTCCCTGACAGCATATTTTCCCAATGCATCTCATCTTCTGACTTGTGGATTTGAGCAAGATGAACAATTGTTGTTGTTAAGTGTCGTCGAGTTGTAGACCACTCATAGAGCCCCTATGAACGAAAACCCTGAACACTTGTACAACTTTAGTTGTTTCTCCATCTTCATAGATGAACAATAGAGAACAAAATAAATCCAAATGGTTAAAGGCAGTATTGTTTAGGGTCAACTGTAAATTATATGAACAGTGAATGCACCAGCGATCATTACTCCTAACTCTAAGAAATCACCTTTACAACAGAATGAAATAGTGCGGCGTTCTATGGATCTTCACAATCATTGCTGCATTTGCATTATTGCAGCCACTGTGTGACTCCCTTTCAATAGCCTTCCTCTCTCTTTTTTTCTTAATTCAGAGCCTCTATGTACTTGTGGGAGAAAGGACAATCAACTCCTATACAATTCACAGCCTCTGAAAACCCGCTGGATGATCAGCTATGAGTTGCTTCCGGCTCAACAGCATATAAGAACAACTTATCTAGCATGATGTCCTCCAGAAACAGTTGCTTCATGATAACCTCCTAAGTGGGTACCAGTCCCACCAGCCTCACTTCTGAGGCACACTCAGTAATCCAACACCACAATCTAAATGCATCAATTCTTGAGTTTCCCTTCTTCATTTTCCAGCTTTCACATTCATATGAAGCAGCTGAAAACATTCAGTTTTAGGCAAACCTTTGGATGAGTGGTAAGAAGTTATGCGGCCATCCCCAAAGGCACATGGTTCCATTCCACCATCTGTTCCTCAGGAGAAAGATAGGCAATGTACTCCTGTGCAATTTACTGCCTCTGAAAAGCCACTGAAGGGTCAGCTATGTGTCTATTTGGATTTTACATCGCATAACATTATATCTAGTCTGTCATAATCTGGGAGCTCTAAAACTTGTCCACAATGGGTAACCCTTGTGGCATTTGGCACACTAATGGTATAGCTTTCAGTATCACAGCAACACCCATTATCTCAGTACAGCAAATAGACAGATAAGTGCTGTACTAATTAGAACAATGTTTACCCCAAACAAAACAAACTGACAATTT